AACTGGTGCCCAGGGAAAGGGAGCCGCGGAATGCTGCGAGTGGTATCCGGACCCGCCGACCGGTCCGGCGCAGGAGGGCCACGGCTCACGATAAGGTGGTTCCAAATGCGCAGAGCTTTGCGTAATAGATCCAACAGTGTTCGACGAAACGGTCGAGGGAGAAGAATACTCGAAGCACCTCGCAAGAAATGTGATGCGATGAAAATGCAGCTTGCGAAGCGCTGACAGCCTGATTTGGACTCGAAAATCATTCGAATTAATATCTTCATTATACCTTGACGGTGCTGCAGTGACACTGGCCAGTGCTATTATTATATGCAGCTAGTCCTGGGGTTTCATTAGAGTATGTTTAATGAGTACCACAAAATGTAATATTTGGTAGGAAGGGGATGCTATAAAATTGCAAGCGCATCCACATGTAAAGTTAACAAAAGTTGTAACATGCATATCAACATTTCTCAAAAGATTCATTTATCAGATATGTCTATAAAGGTAGTTGAGCATTTGAAAATTGATTTCATAGTCATCAATCTAGCAAAGCACCTCCGAGACGGCGCCCTGAACACGAGCGCACTTTTCGAAATTCATCATGACCCACACTTCCTGTTCATCTTGCGATTGGCGTCTGCAGCTGCCGAGCGCGGGGAGACGACCTGCATTGATCTCCCAGACCACACCGGTTTTGTGAGACACCAGCCCAACTTTTCAACAACAAAAAAAATCCGAATGCCGCGAGCTCAAGTTATTTATAGCATACACCTAAAATCAGCATAGCTTTGGCATACGTGACATTGGATTCCTGAAACTGCGATTACAACGATTTGATTCCTTGCAACATTGGCACTCAACGTGCTGAAATTGGCGGTGACCGTGCTCCTAACTCCAGCACTTAGGTTTAACTTGCACATGCCACACAATCGCTCCCATAACGTCGCTGCTACCCGCGGACGTTCAGGGTAGCACGACTTGAACAACTTCCTCTCTACGCATGTTGTGCTTTGTTAGTGCTACCTGGTCTATTATCTGGCGCCTTCAAGGAACAAAAACTAGTTTTCATTTTGTGTCCCAGCACTCTAAAACACGACTGTTGAGACCCCTTCAGATTGAACCAGACACCCTGAATCACGGAAGTGAACAAATACGTTGGCTACGTGGACAGCCAGCATGCCAGCACGTCCAGACCAGCCACCGCCGCGGCCCGATCCCGTACGAGGCGCTGCCACCCGCAGATGGGTGCCGCCGGCAGCTGGGGACCGACCCAAAGCATACAGCGACACTCTCAGTCTCGGGCGGTCGACAGGCAGGGCCGAGCGCGGCGCAGACATCGCCGCTGGCCCCTGCCCTCAGTCTCGGGCGGTCGACAGGCAGGGCCGAGCGCGGCGCAGACATCGCCGCTGGCCCCTGCGGTACGCTCGCCCGGACGTCCGCGCAGAGGCGTGCCCAGGCCGCGACAACAGCGGCGCGCTTTCCGGTCGCCGTCGCGCGCGGCCGGTGTGCAGCTTGCTCTTTACGGCCTCATGATATCCGTCACGCCACACCGCGCGGCGAACCGAGGCATGCATCGAGGGCGATACGGAGACAACACAAAGCCCACACTTACGCCACACGTCGATTTGCTGACGCATCAGCGGGGCTGGCCGTTACGCAGTCAGCCGGTCTGACCGGCGGGCGTGGCACGCACTCGGAGCGGCGAAGCGTGCCCCCCCCCCCCCCGTCCCCCTCCAGTCGTGCCGCCGTACACCAACATCCGGAAGGTTGACGCGGGCCCGAGCAGCCCCTAATGCTCCGCACGGACGTCTGCTGATCTATCACAGGAGTTGTCACCGGCGTTCCCTGCATCGGCGCATCAGGCGCCAGCCGGGCCGACGCGGCGCGGGCTGCGAGCGGCTCGAGAACGGCGACGGCGACATCTGCGGGACGTCCGCGCGGCGAGATCAGCGTTCGGCGGTCGCGGAGTCCCCGTGGTCACACGCGCGGTCCTGATGCTGCAGCTGAAGCATCCCACCATCGACCGAGCGAACGGCGCGGTCTTTGCTCGACCGAGCGACCGGCGCGGTCTCTGCTCAGCAGAGCGACCAGCGTGGTCGGTACTGACATTGAACACTTGGGGCAGCAATCGGTGATCACTAGAGAACCGACGAATCCCCCTTGTACGGGCGAACAGGCTGAAGTCAGCAGTAAGCCCAGTTTCAATGCCTCACGACTTTCCATCTTGCACGCAGAGAGTGCCTTCAACCGCGCAGTGGTCTTGTACCATCGGCAGTCTTAACGAAGACAGGGAGTCGGCGACCACCTTAATGAGACCGAGACAAAGTCTCCCATCCGTTCTAACCGCAGACTGGCCAAGCCGCTCTCACAGCAGCTGGTGAAGGTGAAAAAGGCCGTCTGACAGCAGGTGGTTGCGACCAGAAAAACAGCGCGGCGTGAGGAAGCTAGCTTCGGATCAGCAGGATCTAGCACAAGCCACCAGTGTTCGCATAGCCAACACTAGCTCAGCTTCTGAAACTCAGTTTTCCGTTTGTAACAAACTGAGTTCAGCTACCGTCGAAACTCGGTTTGCTTCTACTGCCACCGCCGGCACGCACCAGGCAGCTCCGTAGCCGGCCGGAGCCGCAACAAATAACGAGCCGCTTGGTGGCGAGCGACCACCAAGCCGGACCGGGCCAGGACGAGTGCGGGACGAACGCGGGCCGGCCCGGGACGAACGCCAGGCGAACGCGGGGTGAGCGCAGGACGAGCGCCGGGCGAGCGCGTGCCGAGCGCGGAACGAGCCGGGACGGGCAAATGACGAGCACAGAACGAGCCGGAGCAAGCGCACGACGAGCCGAGGCGAGTGCGGGGCGATCTCGCGACGAGCACGTGGCGAGCACAGGACGAGCAGGGACGAGCGAGGGGAGCGCAGGACGACCCGGGACGAGCGCGGCGCGGTGCAGCACGGACACCGCCGGTCACCCCTGTGCGGACCGCTCGCGCAGAGACGCGTCCCGGCCACAACAGCGGCGCGCTCTCTGGTCACCGTCGCACGCGGATGACGCACAGCTGACTCGCCACGGTCTCACCGGCATCCTTGGATCATCGGCGGTGGCCGAACGCATTTTCCGTGAATAGGCAGATTCGATCGACATACCCATGGTATGACAAATTGGACGGATAAATTGCACCGAAATACCATGAGAAACAACTATGACATCGGGGGGAGGGGGGAGGGGGAGGAGGAAGACGAGTAGGTCATTCTGCAAAACAGCGTAGGCCTATCCGAGTAAAACGAATAAACAACATCTACCCAAAGCACCGTTCACTCCTCACACCAATCCTCCATCTACCTCTCCAACGAACGCCCCACGCCGCGCCTCGATCTCCTCACATCCGGAGGCGTGCCCCGGGTCTGGGATCGTGCCGCGGCGCAGCACGCACGGGCCCCGACCGCCCGATCCGGGCCAGCGGGCCGGTTTCTCCCGGTACTGGCTTCGCCGCAATGGACAGATGTCCGTCGTCGTTAATGCGGTGCAGTGTGCCAGTGCAGTGGTGTGCACCAACCACCACCACCACCACCAACGGTGGTGGCTCACAAACGCCGGTGTGGGCAGAATACATCCGGGGCACAGATGTGGACAAGATATTGGGCCGCCACGCAAAAAAAGCAAACCAACATCATACGTAAACATTTCATTTATCTTGTATATCCCTTGGTTATTTGATCATTACGGCTTGAGGCCGCGTGACTGCACGGTCATCTAGCATCCAAACACCGTTAAAATATAGGTGAGCACCAAATATTAGAACGTAGGCTTCTGGCATTAGGGTCAAAGCCGAATCCAAAACAATGACATGAAGCCGACGTCGAGGACGCGGCCGGCACCTTGAAAACTTGGAACTTAGAAGCTGAATCCGAAACCAGTGGCTCCATAATTCTAAAGCACGGAACCGAATTCGAATGCCGAGGTTTCGAAATTTGTACACGAGAATCCCAAGCCGCAGTCTCTGGTTTCAACCCTTGAGAGCCAAAGCCAGAGCCCAACCAAGTACTTCAGCATCACAAGGCCAAAGCCAAAGCTAGCGCACAGCGTGTTTGCACAACCCAAACTCTTTTGGCATCTACTAGGATAGGAATGCTTGAGATTATACAATATCATTAAGGTTTTGGGGCATGCTTGGGACGAGGAGTCATCTTCAAGGCTGGAATATTTTTCCTCGGGGGTCTACCGTCCTACTCTGACGTGTAAGTACGTCAACAGCATTACGGACAAAAAATAATCGGTCGGCGACATGTGTCGACTGCTCACGAAATGACAGGCCGACTCTTTACCCAGGTGTGCGAGGCAGCCACGAAAACTTGTGTGGCATGCAGGGATGGTAGGACGGACAGGACGGGCAAGACCGAAGTCGAAATCAGCTGTTAAAAGCGACACAAAACTGGAGTAGACACATTCCATCTAATACTGCATGAAACTTGAGCGCTAAGCACCTGACCTAACTGGGATGACACGTGGCTGGTGGCAGTGGCCGCTTAAGGTCCGATGAGGTCAGAAGGGTAGGCCGCCAGAACAGAGGTATGTTTAATGTTCACCATACATTCTACCATTGAAATTGGATCTCATACTTTGATGATGGTGCCAGGTTTTCTACAACCACTGCTTGGTTGAACTCTTGTCCCAGAAATCCATCCAATTAAAACCTTAAAAACAGTTGGGACTAAATCTAGGAGAATAATCATAATTCACCAAAATATGGATACACCATGTGGTATACTTGGTATACTTCTTTACTACTAACCACTGGTATACTAAAGGTCTGTTATCATCTAATCATAACAAACAATACATGCAGTAACATAGCACTTTGAAGCTATTTGTAGATGCATCAGTCTGTGAAGACTAGAACAACCCAACCTAAAAAAAACATGATGTCCCTATGGTTATCTGCCTCCAATGACTGCATCACAGCTGCCACTTGTAAGTTTTGCAAATGACTCTCATCCCTGAACATGCCTGAAAGGATACGCCTGATCTATGGTGTCCTTGGTGTAGATCTTGATGGAGCTGGACTGGAGGGGATCAGCCTGGCTCTTGGACTTGCCACTCAGCTTGGAGCGAACCATGACCTCCAGCCGGGCATCAGTGAGAGCTGGACGACCATGCTCTGATGAGTAGGCCACCCAGCCATACACTAGGTCCTCTGCAGACAGGTGGTGTTCCTTGCAGAGAGAGACACCTGTTGGGCAGACAGGGGGCTGCTTCAGAATTTCTATGAACAGCCAGAACATACATAAATGAGGTGCAACTGCAATGCATCACAGTCTAACAATGGCGTCAGCTAGCCCAGGCCTGCCACCCAAAGAACTGACCAATTAGCCAGCCAGGTAACTGCATAATATTTAGACAGCTTGAATATTCTTTGAGGACTCATACACAAGCACAACTGTGAAGACCTTAACTGGGTATGTCATCTCTGCAGACCATATGAACACAATATAAACACAATATATACAAAATATGAACAAAATGTGAACACAATATAAAAAACTCAATGTCACAATACAAATCTGATGCAATGTAAGCATGGGTATGCATGATATAAACAAATAAACAGAGAGATCCAAACCACAGCAACAGCCAGTTTTTCCCACCACATAATTGCAGACCACAACAGCAGCAACAGCATGCAAACACGTCAGAGGGACTCATCTGAGCTTCAGTGTGATTAGGTTACTCTTACATTTGGAGAGCGTATCCTTCGTGACATTAATGCAGAAGTTCCCGAACTCTTCATTAATTTCTTCTGAAAGAGGCATTTTTGCTTACTCTAAGCAGGCTTGCGGTTACACTGTGTCGCCAGGCTTTAAAAAACGTAACAAACGCACAACTCACAACCGCCAGCACGTTGTTTACTTTTCAGGCGGGCATAACGCTGGCCTCCTCACTCCAAAGCGCCACGATGCCCAGGGAATTTGGCGCCAAATGTTATTGCCCGCATATGTTTACAAATGTCTCAAAAAACACGGAGTGAAAATATGTGTTTGAAATAAATCTATCTCTGACAAAATAGATGTAGTATTTTTATGTGCCCTGAAATATTTTAAAGCCAAAATTTTTTTAATGATTCATCGAAGTGAGGAATACCATGATAATGAATTCAACTCTAAAAATCGAAGGCCTCGTCGTGAGACAATTGCACGCCGCCATTTTGCCCTGAAATCTTCCGGTACGGTGGACTTAATTCTATGAAATATTTTACGTCACAATGACGTCAAATATTCTCTGAATATGCGAGAACTTCTGTATTTGTAAATCACACGTCATATCAAATAGTTTTACACAGGTGATATATACTCCTGTGTTGAATTCAAAATGAACAAATGCGAAGTTCACTGTCATGTTGCACATCCGAAATTGGTAGCTGGACGGGCAGTGGGTTTGTTGGGTGACGCAACGGGACTGCTTACGTTTTCAGATATGAATGGTATATAACTGCACAACCCGTGCGTTGTGTTTACTATTTCGCTGGTGCTGATGGCTTGTTGCGGCCGAAGATTGTAGATGGGTGTGTGCGGAAGACTGGTGTAATTAAGGCCGGACGCTGGTGAGTTAACTATTTCTAAAAAACTTGTTGAGAACAGCTCATGCACTCAGTCATTCATGAAAAGGGTATGTTGTCCCTTGCTAACGAATGTTGATGCATCATTGCTTCTTGGTGTCTGTAGCTAATTGTTTCTGGGATGGTGGACTGAGGGGTTCAATCTCTCATGCAACCAAAATTTATGGGAATCAGTTGTCTCATTTGCATTTGTCAGCTCAGGATAGCATAGCTGTGTAGCCTATCCTGCAAAGAATTCATCTGCTATGAAGTGAGGTCGGTGCACTGATTCTAGAAGACACTTCTGTCAAAACTAGATGTGGGCGAAATATGTTGAAGTTTTAACATTGCTGCAAACACTGCTTTAGGAGCACTACCATAGCCATATAAAAATTCCTTGCAGTATTGGCTCCGATCACCAGACTTGTGGCTCCTGGAGCTATTTGTGAATGCACTGGAGTTGTTTTTGGGATGTCACTATTATGCAGAGTCAGTAGTAAGCAGGACCTGTGAAGGAGTCACTTTTACATTTTACAGCATAAGACTGGGGCAAGAAACTGTGGGTGACATTACATTATTGGTGTTATTTACTGGCACATATTGCAGCCCAGTCTGCTAAGAATATCCATTGTGTTATGCTGTTATACAGTGTTAATGTGCTGGACCTATAGTGTATGTGCACTTCACCTAGACTGGGCCAAATTGTGCTTAAATTTAGTTTTTTCCCATTAAAATTGCTTTTGAGCATAGTTACTTCAATTTACCCTGTCACTGTTTCTATGAAGCATTGACTAGTTCAGAAAGTTGCTGTTGGTGTTCATGAAATTTAAGGTTTGGGAATTATAGTGTGCAGGTCTTGAAATTGTTTCTAGTAGGTTCTTGCTATCCTAGACACATTAAGATAATTTGGCTATTGTGCAGTTTGAGCTTGAGTGCATTTTCCAGTCTGCCTTTAGTCTGGGAAATATTCCTTGTGGTCTAATTTTCCATGCAAAATAAAACCAATGCTGATATTTTGGCATAATGTGAGACATTTGTTAGCATGAGTGTTTTTTTGTACCACATCTCACTTTGCATGCCTATTTTCTTTTTATTCTGTGCAGTCTTCTGTGCAGTAATTGTCTTTGAGTGACAGCACAGCCAAAGCTTGTGAGCATCCTGCAGAGAATCTGTCCAACATTACAGTATGTTTGTGATTTGGCTCAGTAAACAGTAAATATGTAGGCAAACAGGGATTAGATCTGAACACAGCACATGTAGTCAATTTTTTCAAGGAAATGAGAGAGTAGCAAGTTGATGTGGCCAAGCACATTTATCATAAATTTATACAAGCTCAAATAAGTGATAGTTCATGGTGTCAGGCTTCTTGATTATTTTCTTTTCTAATGTATCTCACTCTGCTTGGCTGGCTATCAGACTACTGAACTATCAGCTTGTATTCTGGTATGCCTATCTATTTTGTCATATCAGAGATATCCAGATGCCGGATTGATTAGTCTTGTGTAAGAGGATTGGGTGAAGGGCAACAATGAGCCCCAATGCAAAGGTGCAATGGTGTGAAAATATCCATGTGTCTTTCACTAAGGTTGCTGAGCAAAGCCACCTGGAGGATGCATGTGATGTCACAGTGGTAGATAGGTGGCCTGCTGGGTTTTGTTCATGCAGAAGTATTTACTTATCCTTTCTTTGCTCCTGTTTTACAGTTGCATTGATGTGGTTTGCATGACCTGGGTTTAAAACCACTGTGGTGTACCAGATTGTCAAAATAATGATTGTCTCAATATTTGACACCTGAAATAAAATGTTGTGATTCTCTGATTTTCAATGTTCTCTTCCATGCTGATCCCAATTTTGGGCAAGTTTTGTTCTTCAAATCTAGAAGCCAAACCACCAAGGTGACACCTTTTATTTCTGTTTTCTATATATATATTTATTTCTGGACCAATCAAATGCACCGCAAGCACCTTCACTATATCTCACTGGCCCTTTTTAGAGCCAAATTATTTTGACCAGCATGCTGTCTGTTCTGATTTGATTCATTTAGGGGATGATGATAATTGCACATGATATCATAAGGAGACAACACTTGCATCTTTTTCTGCCCTGGAACACATACCAATATTTGTAAAGCAAGTGCGTAGTATGAGTTTGATGACACGTCAATGTCATGTATCTAAGAAGTTGAAGCCTAAGGGTCCACTGAATAATTCCAGTATTGTGACATTGTACCAGCCTAGTTACATTGATGCTTTTATCAAGCTGTATACCAATTGTACTGAACCTGGCCTGAATATGCAGTCTTACCATCAAGGACACTGTAAATAGGTAGATGCCATAAGACCTGCCATATTACATCAGTGTTCCAATATCTGGCCACATGGGTGGCAGGGATGTTGATGTTTTTTCATACTACACCCCCCCCCCCCAGCCAGGGCTCACTGCCTGTTGTCCCCCCCCCCCCTGCTCAAAATCAGCCCATCAGCATTGAACCAGGTGGCTGTTAACCTGGCATCCAGGCACCTCAGGCTTGGCAAATAGGCTGGGGCAAGTGACATGTCTTGGTTCAGGATTATAGGGTAACAGATTAGTATCAATAAATTGGGGGGGGGGGGTGCCAGAAGGGCCAGGGCTGCTTGTAGCATAAATTCATATTTATGTCCTGCATGGCCCACTGGATGAATTTAGGAATGTTTGTGTTACATGCACCATATGACCAGGCCAGTCGGTCTACCCTAAAACCCAAATCATCATCAACAAACATACAATATTCATGCAATGTTTGCTGTTGCTGGCCTGAGAAGTCATGTTTGGTTAAGGCCAACTGAGAATCAGGAATGATGGATGGTGGTAAATTTGTTTTGGTTTGTGCTTTTAGATCACAAACTCCAATGTGGCATGCATTTTGCCTATTGGAAAGAGCACTGTTGATTTTTCAGCAAATTTCCCTCCATCTCTCTGACATGACTATGGCAGGGAACAGCTCTGTGCACTTCCATGCAAGCAGTGCCTTTATTCAAGGATTGAGATCAAATGCACATGCTTGGTTGATTATGGAGAAGCCCCAGCTCTCTGCTGCTAATCGTGGGAGCATGCAGTGGAATCCAACCTATCCAGTGAAGCAGAGTAAATAGCAGAATTGTAAAGCAGAGTAAAGCACAGTATAATTGCAGTAGTGAAAGCAGAGTATAGCAGAGTAAGTCCCACAGCTCAGGGTGTGCTGCAGCCACTGACCACAGTTTCTCTGCCCAACCCCAGCACCGGTCAGGGCGGGCGCGAGTGGTCGCCAACACCGGACAGGGCGGGGCGCGAGTGGTCGCCAACACCGGACAGGGCGGGCGCGAGTGGTCGCCAACACCGGACAGGGCGGGCGCGAGTGGTCGCCAACACCGGACAGGGCGGACGCGAGTGGTCGCCAACACCGGACAGGGCGGGCGCGAGTGGTCGCCGCGCTACGGATCGCCGGCACCGCTCCAAACCTTCGCGCCGTCGCCTCCAGGTGGCGGGCGGTGGGGCCATGGAGAAGTTCACGTTCAGCTTGCGCAGCCCGCTGGCCAAGCGGCTGGATCGGCTGTCCAACGGCCACGGGCCCGGCTACCTGGACTACCTGCTGGAGCAGCACGCGCCGGAGACGGACGGTGCCGGCGAGCCGGCACCCGAGCCGCGGCCCGTCACCGACTGGGCGCCCAAGATTGGCGTCGACGACCTCACCAAGAGCATCGAGATCGACGTCGGCTCGCAGGTGCGCCGAGCGGCGCCGGCGGTGAAGGGACTGCCAATGAGAAGCGGGATGATCAGGCTGTGATGTGGGAGTGGTTTCATTGCTTTTTGTGTGGTGGCTTACCTACTTTTGAAACCAATGCACAGTGTGTCTATATTTTTTGATATTTGCATGCATTAGTTGATCTAGGTCGTAGGGCCGCAGGTAGATGTGGGTTGGTGGTGTAGATGTAGTTAGAAGATGGTGTAGACCGTAGTTATATAGATGGTGTGCATGTAGTTACTTGGTGTGAGGACGGTATGTGAGGATGACGATTGTATGTAGAAGACCTGGCGGTAATAGTTCGGAATATGGCGGACGATTCAGCCCCGCGCGCTGCAGTAGACCTATCCGAGCGCTCCGCCCCTCGGTGCCGCGCCACCCCGTCCTCCGGAGTCCCGCCCCCCCCCCCCCCTCTCCCCGGCGGCGGTGACCGCCCGCCCCCGCGCCACCCCGTTTTCCGGAGTCCCGCCCCGCCCCCCGCCCTCGTGCCGCGCCACCCCGTCCTCCGGTCCCCCTCCCCCCCCCCCCCCCCCCCGGCGACCCCCGCCCCCCGCCCCCTTTTCCTCTCCACCCGCCCCCCCTCCGCCCCTCCCCCCTCCCCTCCCCCCG